ATAATACTTCCTCTGTTTTAAAATATAAAGCGTTTTGGAGAAACTTTTTTGTTTCACAATATAAATCGTTTTCAAGTTTCTATGCAAATTATATATTATTTTAATATTTTATGATTGTTTTTATTATGTAGTATCTTTTATGATTGACTGAACTTTTAAAAAGTAGATCTTATCTTCTTAATCAGCGTGTTTTAAGCTAAAACGCCTTATATTTTGAAACGGAGGAAATATCAGTTAATCTATTTTTTTTTTCCAACTCTAAATATTCGTTTCAAAAGATTTATTTAGGGATAAATATCATTAATCACATATATGAATTAGATATCGTATATATACACTAATTCATGTTGTTTTTTTCCCTTTTTTTATATTTTCATCCATAATAGTATAGTCAAATTTGAATTTTCTTATGAGATCTCGATTTCTTGGTGTTTTGATGGAAATTTTGTTTTTTAAACCAAAGATATAATAATATAATAACATTTTTCTTATAGATTCAATGTTGTTTGTTGTTATTCCTGAATATGTTTCATATGTTTTATCATATTCCCATGATAATTTTAATGGATCCCGTCAAGTTAACAGCCGAAGCTATGGTCATTACAGCTTAGACAAAAAAATTATCTGCTTAGAGTATTAAAAAGAGACATTCCTCTAACCCCATTTCTAAAATGGAGTTTGAGGCATTTGCCTCTTTTTTAACACTATAACCAAACCATAGACAAATCTTTTAGACTCTAACCGTATGATTTTCTTGTCCTTGTATAAAGTAGTAGCTTTGTTTGTTAACCTAACGAGAGCCACTAGGGTTATGAATGGAATCAGAAAATAATGAAATAAGCAGATAGAATATCAACAAATGACATTGATTTGAGTTTGTAAGACAATTATACTTTTTTTTTTTTGCTAAGTGTAAGACAATTATACTTCATATCTTCGATTTAGAAAATAAGATTCCGGTCGAGAGACCAAGAGAACTCAAGATCTCAGGAGGAAAAAAAAAAAACATAAAAAAATGAATGATGTCATGCACACACACACATATTACATATATATAGGAGATTTATTGCTATGGGTATATAGGAGATTTATTACACATATTACATATTTTCTAAATCTAATAAATATTTGGAAACAAATATTTAGCTTTGACTAAATTTTTTAATAAATATCTTGATATGAGTAATTTGGAAAAATATAGTAGCATTGACCGATTTATGGTTTTTTTTTTGTAGTCAAAGTGAACGGTTTTATGTTAATCCATTTCATTCACATAAATTGGATAGAAATTAGAAACTCATCCAAATTTTTTTAAAAGGAATATATTCCAAATAAAACTCATCCAAAATTTTATTAAAATATGATAGACTCTGTTTAAATATTTATAACAAAATATGTTAAATATACAAGTAAAACTCGAAAGTATTCAAAAGAAAAAAGATTTTCCGAATAAAGCAAGATTTAAATAGGAAATAGAAAACTATTTATTTTAAAAATATCTATAGCTATATTTCTGAGATAAATAATTTGCAAAGAAATTAAATACTCTCTCTGTATCACAATGTAAGATGTTTTAGCTAATAGCACAAAAGAAATGTCTACGTTTAAAAAGTTCAACCAATCATGAATGAGACTGCATAAATAAACAATCAAAAAGTATTAAATTAATATATAATTTACATGGAAACTTGAAAACTTGAAAACACTTTATATTGTGAAATAAGAAAGTTTCTCTAAAACATCTTATATTTTGAAACAGAGGAAGTTGTAAATAATATTGGTTGTATATAGCTATTAGAATATATTATATTATATTATTAAATTTTGCGACAAAAAAAAAATCCAATTTATTTTTCAGTCAATATAAATCCAAAGTTATTATTTATAAATTATATAAATGATGAAATAAACGGAAATTAAATATCTATTGAAAAAAGTCAAAGAAAAGCTATAAGAAAACAGGGCAAATCCTACCAAATTTTCTACGAAAAGTTTGGTAGGAAATCAAGTATTTTCTTGTAGTTAAGAGTGAAGTGATTATATAGGGAAAAAAAGATTGGAGAATTTTCACATTATACATCTTTTTGAGATATCGATGCAGTTGGACCACATTATAACTTGGATCATAAGATATTATGTTTATAATCTTGCGACACTGAAAACAAACAAGTATTATACAGTAACAACTATTATAAACTAACAAATGCGTGTGAAATATGACTTGTCTTTTTTTTTTTCTGAAAAATAATAGCTTTATTGATTACTGAAATGAAATCAAAGTTGCGAACATGGCGAATTATGAACTACGTGCAGTCGTTAATGTATTGTAAGAACTAAATGAATATACAATTTTCAAATGTTTGAAACATCTTGTTAATTTTGCAATATGTATAATACATTGTCAACTTCATCCATAATATAGAATAAGCTGCTTTATGGACTGTAAAATAATTATAATAAAAAAATCAAACCAATAACATAAGGTAGAAAATACTTATTTTTTCTAACATATCAGAAATATTAATCATTAATCATAATTTATAGATTATAAATGGCAAGAATGATAAGATTTCAAATTACATGGCGACATTATGAATAAAACTTTTAAATTCTTTCATTATTAGAAAATATGTACATAGTAAATTATGAAATCTAAAACGAATAATGATTTCATTTGACCGTGCATGATGTGGAAAGTCATTTAGTTCAGATTTAATTTAAAATTTTGTACAAAAAATGAAAGATAAAAAAAAAAGACAAAAAAACACATTTGTTTTGTAAAACTTTGGTGACCCAAAATTGAGACTTTTGAAAAGGTGTACACTTTATGTAACCAATCCAAGACATATTTTAAAACAGAACGTCGAAGTTTTATTATAAAAGTAATGAGCCCATCAAAGCTTGGACTTCGCCTGTTTGGACTTAGAGTCTTCTGCTTCCATCATCGTTATAGACAGTGACTCTCTATTGTCCTTTTTTCTCCCGGAGACAAAAATATAATACTTTATAGAAAAGTTTTGAACTCAATCCACTATGAATCATTGTCGTTAACCCTCCATCCTTTCGAGTGAATTTATAGAGAGTTTTTTTTATCCACTTTGAGTCATTGTCGTTAACCCTCCGTCCTTTCGAGTGAATTCATAGAGTTTTTTTTTTTTATAATGTAATTATATATAAGATATGTAATAAATTGTGTACGCGTTTCTTTAAATTTTTACGGCATTTTTACCATGATTAATTAATTATAATAACTTATAAACTATATAGTCATTTCTTGTATATTGAACCGATTCTAAACACTCAGAATTCATGGTAGAAGGTGTTTGAGTAGTTCATCTAAATTCCTAGTGATGATGCGCTAGAGACTATAAGTGACAACGTAGAAATTAGCATCATATTCAAAGACTAGATAATTTCAGATGAGGACTTTTTACGACAAGCCCAATCGAGTGTGTATCGTCCTTCGTTGTCTATCCGTTGCAGTATCCGACTTTGTAGATTATTGTTGATATAAGAAACATGATTTAAAGTGTTTTTAAGTGTGTGGAAGCTTTTTCATAGTCCATCTCATCACAAAATCTGAAGTTATCAATTATGAAATGAGTATTACAAAAATAAAGAAGGGAAAAATCATGAGTCTTCTTAGGTTGCAAGGAGAAGGATTATGATTCGGTTACTATTTCATTTCCTTCAAACTCACATTCATTATTTCTTTTATTGCTAAATTTAAGTTCACAAGGTGATATTGGTGAGAACTAATTATTTAGAAGAATGACATATGAATATGGATGAAACTATGGAGTTACATAAGGAAGATTCTTTAGCCATTGATAAAAAAAACTTGTTGATATTGATTGTGAGTCCAATCAATATTAACAAAGTTTAAGAACTAGACCGAAAATGAGAAAATTAGAAATAAAGGAGGTCTAAAAAAAAGTTTGACCATATACAGCTTTTTTTTTAGAATGTCACTTTGGACTAAAATACCTCAACTCTCTCTTTTAAGTATTTTTTAAAGGTTTTACCAAAAAATATGTAGATATACAAGATTATAAATGTTTTATAAGAAAAAAATTGGTGATTTAGTTGAAAAAAGTTGATTTTTTGATGGATAAAATTTCGTCTAATATTATTAGAATACGTTTTCTAGTGTTCTACGAATATCAGAGTTTATATTCTAAACTTTTGTACATGTTCTACGAATCAGAGTTTATATTCTAAAATTTTGTACATGTTCTATGACTTTTAGATTAGATATCTGTTCTAACATATTCAGAAGACCGGAATAAAATTTCTAAAATCCGTAGAACAAGTGCTCTACGCTTTCCTTCATGTTCTAATTTAAGTCATGAAAATCTATTCTACTATTTACTATATGTTCTAAAAACGTTAGAAAATGTATTATTATTTAGAATCCATTTTCTAAAATAATATAGATTTCAAATTCTGAAATTTTTAGAATTCTAAATATAGAAAGTTAATCTTTCAAAAAGGAAACTGAATATTTATTAAATATTACACTTTTATTGTTTAGATTACGATCTGGGATGTTTAGAATACGAATTCTAATTTTTTTAGATGAAAAATAAATTGAAATCGTAAAACCATAAGTAAAATACTTTTGTGCCCTAATTCTCAAAGTCTTCTTCTTTCACATATTCTTTTCGAGTCCACGTTGAAAAGTTAGACTAATTTGGTAGATTTGTCTTTTTTCCACAACTCGTTCGAGAGCAAAGCCCAATAAGAAACATTTCATCATAACCATGAAATTTACAAGTAAAATAACCATACATTGTAATTTGTTGGCTTAACTCGGTATTTTTTTCTTCTTGTTTTGTTGTGCAGATATAAGAGTAGGTAAAAAAGAAAAGCTTTTTTTTTTTTTTCGGCAAACTGAACTTGAATAAATAAGAGAAATGTCTTACACTCCAAGAGAGGAGGAATTGGAAATAGCCACAAGGGCAAACAAAGCTAAGCAATCGGCTAAAACAAAGACCGTCTGTGGTAAAACATCAGTAAAGATAGGTGCAAAGGAGTTACATAACATAGCTATATCAAGGAAGATCCCTTTTAGCTCTGAAGTACTATCCTTAGCGTTGATGAGTGAAACGAGGACAAGAGAGTCCCACAACACCGTTGGAGAGGCAAAATCCGGCTAACCGGCTGCTGATAAGAGCGCACTGCACAATGCAAGTGCTTCCGCTACAAGGGCTGAGGCAACAAAGGCTCCAATCGCAGAGAAAGAGGCCGTAATGGTACAGTCATAACTTGTAAACGTCCATCCCAAACTGCAGAGACAAGAAGCCCTACCTGCAACATGGAATTTAAAGACTTCGAGACAACAAAGAGGAGGAAACAAAGCCTCCCGAGTCGATAACGCCAAACAGCCAGCAAAAGCTGAGCGAGAATAGTCATGAACAACAATTTTCGCTTCTGCATCAAGCAGAACAGTCTTGATAACAATGCTCCTTGTAACACTACCACTAAACACAAGTGAAGTAGTTAGGAGGATAAAAAGCTCCATAAAGGAGAGATGAGAGCTATGAAAGCTCCGATGAACCCGATCAACTGGCCGGTTGAACTGAAACAAAGATCTAAGTCTAAGCTGCCACGAGACAATTTCTATCCAGGCCAAATCGAGACAGAATCTGCATACTGCAGTAAGTGATCGCATCAAGGCGATAAGTGTGCTACAAGAGAGCACAAACGTAGACACAAAAGTATCTAAACCCATCGAAATCGAATGAGCTAACTCCAAGTTCCACAAAACCAAAGCCACAAATTCAACGAACATCCAATTCCTTCCCATATTAGAAGAATTAGAGGGCGAAGAGCGCATGCTTACCTGAGGAACATCTGAGGAGAGAAGGTGAGGGCGTCGGCGAGATAGCAATGAACTCCGAAAATGGCGGTGGTCGAAGTGGTCGGATATAGACGAGCATCAAGCTCTCCAAACCAGATAGCAAAGAGGGACTCGTCAAGAAGCAGCAGTCCAATGCTATTGAGAAACTTTGCAGGCAGGAGAGGTAGACTCGTCATCCACGGTGGCTGAGCAAGAGATTCATCAAAGGAGCGGCAGATCTGAGGGTCCGGTGGGTCTGGTGGTTCAGGTGGAGTCGGCGGAGAAAGAGACTCCGGTGGTGGTGCAGGAGGAGGCCTCAGAGGCTCAGATCGGAGAACGCAACCAAAGACATCGGAAAATGACGAGAGTGGCTCGAAGAAGACAGAAGAAGGAAAGTCATCTCAGGTGAAAAGTCTCACCGGAAAGACAGCCACGTCGCCGGAAAAAGAGGTTCGCCTAAGAGATCTTGCCTTAGCAGCTAGCACCGATCAGAAAAGGAAGCTGCCGGAGAAGCAACGTCGGAGGAAGAAGCTCATATCTTCAAGGGATGCGGCTCCTTGGTTTTCGTGCCTGGGAGAGATTATTTAGGGCGAACTACACTCCGTGTTAAAGAAAAGCTTTTTTGAGAAGATATCGCAGAACAAACCCATGAGAAAGAAAAAGACATTTCTTAGCGAAGGGTTGAAACAATTTAATTATTGTTGTAATATCAGAATTTAGAACGAAACAGGTCAAGAAGATGTTGGAAATTTTGTTTTTTTTCCTATGGTTTTTACAATCTTTTATAAAGTTTTCGATGAATATTCATGCCATGGTATAAAGAGGGGAAAAGTCACGTCAGTTGGCGACGGTTGTAGACGCGTGGGCACGTGAGAGGAGTATGTTCAGAACACAAAATTATCTTGGTGGTATAAGTCTCTTTTTCAACAAGAGTACTTGAGATCCTTGTTCAAAAAATCGCTAGGCGTTAATCTAGCGTTCGAGCTGGGCCTAGAGATTAATCGGTAAATCGGAGATTACACGGAAATTAATCGGGATTAGTTTTAGGGTTTTTATCTAGTTTTGTGGGTATATATGAATTATTTGCTGACAAAGAATATAAAGTCGGCTTGGTGTAGTGGTTTCAGCAGTCTAAATGCCTTTGTACGCCTGAGTTCGAGTCCCCAGATCTCGTTTTTTGCTCTCTTTTTAACCCTTCTTTTAATGAAAGGTAAAACAGACATTTTATCATCGTCTTCTTCACAGACCTTGACGACTTTCTAAACCTAATAATGGCGGCTGCCCGTTTTTTATACATTTTCATCATTTTTAACTCATTTTTGTTCTTGTTTTTCTCCAAATATGATAGATCTGACATGTATCATAGAATATTTAACCATAAACTACAAAAAATTGTTATTCTCCGATTTGGACAAATCCCGGCGGTTACCTACTGCTGAGCGCTTAACCGGCGCTTAGGCGGCCGCGGAGGCCGCGTTTTCGAACAGGGCTTGAGATAACACAAAATTATCTGATTTATGTAAATAAATTAGGAAATATTTCTTTTTTTAAAATTTTGTTAATTACAATTTCGAAAATATGAGGGTAAATTAGGAGTTTTGATTTTTAAAAAAACCTATTTCACCAAACTTTTTATAGAAAGGTATATATGGACATTTATCTATTAAAACCTCCTTTATTTCTAATTTTCCCTTTAAACTTTTAATGTTAAATTGAAGAAAAACATTTTCTTGTTATCAAATTGATTTCTCTATACATCAATGTACTGTGCAATACTATTAACTTTTTCTTTTCGTGGAATCAAATACAGAAATTTTCCAGGATTAGTGGATACAACCTGACCCCTTAACTATTAGGTTAAAGTAAATGAAAAAATCACTTAACTATTGGACCCTTGTTAGTGAAAATGTTATGCAGACCAATGAATTTTCTGATCAACAGAATCCCAAGACAATAAGTCCAAGACTGCGTAAGTATCATGACCTCCGTGAATTTGCAACTGTTCAGCTTCGAAGCTGTACACACTGCTCTTTATACCGATCTTGCTCGATCCTTGAGTCGATTTCAACTTATGTTCATTCATGGTGTATCTTAACTTCACTGAATTTTCCCAGCGCCATGTCATCTCGTATAGCTTAATCAGAACCAGGTAAGGAAACGATGACTTTGGTTCCGATTCTATCATTATTTTCGCTACACTTTCAGCGAGTCTCGTGTCTCCAACATCTACAGATGCACAGAGAATCGGTTCCCAGATATGAGAGCTTGGTTCAAAAGGTATCTTGTCAGCAATGTCCTTTGCTTCATTGATCATACCTGCTCTGCAAAGCAATTCGATTATACAGGCGTAATGCTCGTTGCCAGGATCAACATCATGAGTCTTTTCCATTGAAGAGAATATCTGAATTCCTTTATTAACAAAGCCCGCATAACAACAAGCTACTAAGATACCCATGAAAGTCACTCTATCCGGTTTCAGACCTCTTTCGTCCATCAGCAATTGATTGAAAACAGAAAGGGACTCAACTGCTCTGCTGTTTCTCGCCAAACCCATTATCACTGTGTTCCAAAAGATCAAATCTTTTTCATCTGTTATGGCAAACACTCCCATTGCTGAATCAACTGAACCGGTTTTGAAGTACATCTCCATGAGTGAGGTGGCTACTGTCGTGTCCGAATCAAACCCTAACTTAGTAGCCAAAGCATGAACTTGTGCTCCGTGACCTAGCATCACGGCATTCATCGAGCTCAGAACGCTACTAAACGTGAACTTATCGGGACTAATGCTCTGCCTCATTGCAACAATAAAGAGCGTAAGAGTATCTTCTCCACAACAATGCCACGAATAGCTACCGATCATGGAATTGCACAACACCGAATCCCATTTCTCCAACTGTCTAAAAAGCTTAACCGAATCATCCAATCTGTTGCATTTGGAAAACATGTCAATCCCAGATCCTAAAACAATGTTGTTAAATAAAAACCCCATCTTGATGCAAAGAGCAATAGCCTGCTTACCCTTGCACAAATCTTGTAAATCAGAGCAAATAGACACAACCATCGAAACTGTATATTCATCAGGTTTATTCTCCATTTCTCTCATTAACCAAAACTGATCCAAAGCCACTTCTTTGTTACCAGAATCAGAACAACACAAAATCAAACAGTTCCACGAGATAACATCTCTCTCCTCCATAGTTAAAAACACCGATATCGCATAATCAAAAACTCCTATTCTTCTATACATATCCATCAGTGAATTCCACACCACCAAATTAGACTTACTAACGCCACTACAAATAGCATTACCATGAATCTGTTCCCCATGACGAACACAAGAAACAAGAGAAGCTAGAATCGAAAACGTAAACTCCGTTGGTCGAATCACCCATCTCTGCATATCAAAGAAAACCCTAATCGCATATTCAGGAAACCCACAAGAAACAAACCCTGAAATCATTGTATTCCAGCTAACAACATCTCGTTCAGGCATTTCATCGAACAGGTCAAGTGCGTTATTGAGAAAACCATTTTTAAACAAGCCCTTCAAGCAAACGTTCCATGATATAGTGTTCTTATCAGGAATATCGTCGAACAATCGGAAAGCATCGATGACGGCGCCGGATTTGAAGTAGAGCTGAAGGCAACGGTTTCCCCAATAAGTAGTGCGAATGAAACCAGCTTTGAGGAGCTGGGCATGGACGATTCTGGTTAAAGTCGGACACTTTGAGAGCAAATAGCGGTCTACGAGACGCGAGAAGTAGAAAGATGACGGCATGCAAAGTCCATGAGCTCGTCGGAGCAGTGAGGACATACATGTGCGAAGTTTTCTTTTTTGGTTTGTTTGTTTGAATTACTTTAAAAATTGGGTTAATTAGATGAATATCCTTGTTAGATATAAAGTAAGTAACACAATGGAGAGGTAAAAAACTTATTTTGACCTTTGTTTGTGTGTGTTAAAGAGAGAAAGAAGAGTTACAAAGCAAATGTGAGAGAAATTCTCTATTTGTTATGAATCTCGTGTATTCTTATTGATTAATGAATGAGGTTACAACTTATATATATACACAATAGGGGAGACAAATGTCAATTGGACTAGGAAACACTAAAACCCACTAAGACTAACATAAACCGTCTTTGGCCTTGATCGGTTGGGCGAGTCTTCTAAAAGGTAGACATGGGCCTTTTAGAACATGGACATGGGTCACGGTTATGGAGTCCATCCGTAATGTGGTTTACAACACTCCCCCTTGGATGACATAACCGTGTAGATGCCAAAGGATCTCAGTAATATGCTTGGGGATGCTGCCTCATTAAAACCTTACCAGGAAAACCTATTGGGACAAAACTATGGTGAAGGAAAAAGAGTACAACACGTATTACTCCCCCTGTTTCGGTCATCCCTGAAAGTCCTTAAGTCTCCGCATTCCAATTTGATGCGTGAGCTTCCTCAATGTCGATGTTGGTAATGCCTTAGTGAATAGGTCGGCTGAATTGTCACTGGATCGGACCTGCACCACTTGAACTTCTCCATCCTTTTGTAGATCATGTGTGAAGAAGAACTTAGGTAGGATGTGCTTCGTCCGATCTCCCTTGATGTAACCTTCTTTGAGCTGAAACGATGCAGGCCGTATTGTCCTCGTACATGACCGTTGGTCCCTTCTCATCGTCCATGCGACAATTAGATCGTATGTGTTGAGTCATCGACCTCAACCACACAGACTCACGGCTGGCCTCATGTATTGCCAAGATCTCCGCGTGATTGGATGAAGTGGCTGAGATGGTTTGCTTCATTGAACGCCACGAAATCGCGGTTCCACCGTGTGTAAACACATAACCTGTTTGTGACTTACCATTATGCGGATCTGATTGATAACCTGCATCAGCAAAACCAACTAAACCTTCTGTGTTATGGTTAGTATAGAATAGACCTAAATCAACAATTCCTTGTAAATAACGTAAAAGATATTTAATTCTGTTCCAATGCCTTTGGGTCGGATATGAGCTAAATCTCGATAGGAGGTTCACGGCAAAACAAATGTCTGGTCTAGTGTGGCCAAGTACATTAACGCTCCTATGGCACTGAGGTATGGCACTTCAGGACCGAGAACTTCTTCCTCGTCCTTCTTTGGACCGAATGAATCACTATCCAATCCGAGGCTTCTCACCATCATGGGCTGCTCAATGGGTGGGCCTGGTCCATATTGAATCTCTTGAGTACCTTTTCAGTATATGCCTTTTGATGCATAAGGATTCCATTATTCACGTACTCAAGTTGCAATCCCAAACAGAATTTTGTCTTGCCTAGGTCTTTCATCTCGAATTCTTTCTTTAGATATTCGACTGTTTGGGCGATTTCCCCAGAGGTTCCAAGGATGTTCAAATCATCCAAATATACTGCTATTATCACAAATCCTTTATTTGCAAACTTCTTTATGAAGATACATGGACTGATGGGATCATTCTTATAGCCTTCTTTGACTAGGTACTCACTTAATCTATTATACCACATGCGCCCACTTTGTTTCAGTCCATAAAGCAATTTGTTCAGCCTTATACAGTATTGGTCTCGAGACCCTTTCTTATCTTTATCTTTGAGCTCAATACCCTCTGGTAATCTCATATATATTTCATTATCCAGTGGACCATATAGATAAGCGGTCACAACATCCATTAACCGCAAATCAAGATTTTCTCTTATTGCCAAACTTATTAAGAATCTAAAAGTCGTTGCATCCACCACAGGAGAGTATGTTTCTTCATAATCTATCCCCGGT